GGAAAGAAGGAAGGAAGGAAGGAAGGAAAGAAGGAAGGAAGGAAGGAAAGAAGGAGGGAAGGAAGGGAAGGAAGGAAGGAAGGAAAGAAGGAAGGAAGGAAGGAAGGAAGGAAGGAAGGAGAGAGACGATGGTATCAGTGTGTCCAAAGCCAGGAGCAGTTTGAGGAGAATTCATGATAATGTGTCTTTTACTGCAGTATATTTTTACAATGTAAAACTCTCTGTGTATTTTGATACCGTATAGGTCTCCGCCCGCCAATGGGAGCAATGCTAAAGAAATTTGCAGCCATGCTTTGGAGCTGCCACAAAGCTGCTCATCTCCCTTATTTTCCTACTCTGTTGGCTCCTTTCCCCCGCTCGGGCCAGGGCCAGCCTGAGAGCCCTGTGGACACTGTGCGGCCCCTGGCATGGCTCTGGTCACTTCTGAATGCCCTGGGGGTGCTAAAGCTAGAGATTCAGAGACTTTAACCAGGGCGTCCACTTTTCATAAGCTCACAGCATGGTAAGGACCACAGGAATCACATAGAAACCGCCTCCAATGAGCATGCCTCAACGATGTGGTTACGAATCCAGTGGCTTGATGGCCGGGGTGCCTCGCTGGGGTGATGAGAATGTCCTAGAACTGATCTTGGTGGTGGTCCCATAACCCGTGAATATAGTAAAAGCCACTGCAGTGTAATCACTCACTTGAAGCGGGTGAGCGTGTGCGTTGTGTCTCAGGAAAGCCGTGATGTTAAACTGACAGCGTTACATGTCACTGTCCGGGTTCAGGCTGCAGATCAGATCTGTTGGGATGACTCCTGCGGGCGGTGGCCTGGGATCGTGGTTTCCCGGGAGACGGTGGGGAGGAAGGCAAGGATCGGAGAAGAGGGGAGAGGAACAGAGGCGCGGGGCGGGGTGGGAACGCTCCTCAGGAAACCGCCCCGTCTTCTCCCAGGAAGCCAAAGGCCTGGTATTCACTCCTCTGCATCTGTTCCACAGATTCACGACCAAGAGAGGCAAGAAGGTCTGTGTTCAACCGAAGGACAAATGGGTGAAGAAATACATTTCCTTACTGAAAACCCAGAAACAACCGTGACTCTGTCGGGTTTTCAGTCCAAGAGCACCCAGACCCTGTTCAAGGCTCTGATACCCTCTGTGGAGCCTGGAGAGTCCTTTCGGGGGTCCTGGGGGTGGGGGTGGGGAGGAGCATGTGTTTGCCATCCGAGTTATTTTTAATAAAGTTTTTGCATAAAGATTTAACTTGTTCGTAACATTTGTGGTCAGTAAGGCTTCAGTTTTCTTCAAGGAAAAGAAATTGAGTCACTGTGAGTTAGCCAGAGGTCCTGCAGGGCCCTAACTCCTACGCTGACACCCCGTACTGAATTCTGCTGGGTGCTTTTGTTTGTTTATGCAGAAAAATGCATTTAATTCATGAACAGAAATATCTACCCACCAAGCCCTCTGTGAAGCTTGTTAAACATTCAAATACAGTTATTGATGTTCTTAGCCCTGCTACCAAACTACAGACTCTTGGAAGCCAGGAGTTAAATCTATCTTTGCACAGGGGAAGGACCCCGTAAATATGTGTGGAATATGCCACCAGTGACAAATGTCGCCAGACGCACTTTGCCCAAGCTCAATTCGCGGTCGGCGTAATTAATATACACCGTGGAAGACGGCAAGGTAGCCAAGACTGCGAGACCGAATTCTATCAGCAACTTTGATATGTAGTTCCTTGACTTACCAGCAGATGGCAAGATTCTCTTCCAGCTTTTAAGGATTCCTGTTTATTGAAGGTCTACCTGTGATCCCCGTCCTATGCAGCCGCTGGGGTAAGAAGACGGAGAGAGGTGAGGAAAGGAAGCCTGAGTTCAGATGATGCTAGATCGTTGGGGTTGGAGAACAATGAAGAGTCCAGCCAAGTTGGGCATGCTGGCGCACACCTGCAATCCCTGAGAGGCTGAGGCAGGAGGATGGCAAGTTCTAGCCCAGTCTGGGCAACTTAGTGAGACCCTGTCTCACAGTAAAAAATAAAAAGTACTAGGAGTGTAGCTCAGTGGGAAGGTTCTGGGTTCAACCCCCAGAACAGGAGAGGGGGAGAGGGAGAGGGAGAGAGGAGAGCAGCATTACAATTCTAGAGATCCTTGTCCCTGCTATGTCCACTACTTCCATTGCATTGTTTTTCTCTTTTTGTCCACCAAACAACCATTGATTTTCATTACCCTGTATTTGACAGAGGGCATAAAAATCGCAGAGATTTTCCCTAATTCCTGGAAGCTCACAGTCTAATGAACGAGCCAACCTGCAATTACAGTCTAATTTGTACACTGCAATGGGGTAAGGGTTGTCAAAACGACTAGCGTCTCTGGGTTGCTTTATCAGTCAGGAAACGCATCTAGAGTGTGCTCTCTTCTAAGGTGAGACAAGAATGGTTCTAAAGCTAGTGCCAAGAACTAGTGGGTCTGAGCCACATGTCTGCCTGTGAGTGGTGGAACTTGAGCCATAACCAGTCTCCCGTCCCCTGCCGTGTTTTGCCCACAAGGCAGTTGCAAAACTGAAATCTTGGGCCGCAAAGCAGGACCTCAAAAAGCTCCTCTTTCACAGATTGTGAAAGAAACTTATCTCCTGGCCCCTTGAGGGAAAGCCCGGATCTTTTGAGGAGTTTTGCTCCCTGAGGTGACAGCAGGGCTGGTGTCCCATGGCTACCGGCTCTCCAGGCCCCAGACTCATCCTGGGCTGAACCACTCCCCCTTACACACCTGCCGGCTCACTCAGGGTCAGCCAGAAGCCACTTGGTGTCCACGTCGTCAGAGGACTTGACCAGTAACACAGCTGCACACAGGGTAGGAAGAAGGGGACCCGAGTGGCTGGTGTCCAAAGGAGACGTCCAGGAGAGCCTCGCAAAGTCCTTTCAACTCCGGCCTGGGAAGCCTGAAAATGTCAAGTTTGAGTCCTGGTTAGAACTCAGTCACTGCAACTTCGAGGGTCTTGGTTTTTTTTAATTTATAATACTCTCCGCATACTGCACAAATTTATTTACCTATATGTGTGTTTAGGCAGTACTGGGGATTGAACCCATGCCCTTCACACTGAGCTACATCTCTAGCCCTTTTAAAAAAAAAATTATATTTTTGAGACAGAGTCTTGTTAAGTCTCTAAATTGTTCAGGGTAGGCTTGAACTTGGGGTCTTCCTGCCTCGGCCCCCGGAGTGCTGGGACTTGAGGTGTGCACCACCATGCCCACGTATGTGTGTACAGTTTCAAAGTTAACAAAGTGCTTTCAGTGGTCTTAGTGCATCTGTGCTACTGTCACAGAGTATCATAGACTAGGTATAAAGAGCAGAAACTCCTCCCGGTCCTGGGGTCTGAGAGGGCCCCTTCAAGGCGCTGGCCTGTGGAGGGGGCCTTCCTGCTCTGCCCTCACCTGGCAGAAGGAAGTGCAGGAGAGGGTGCCTCATCCAGAGTAGCTGGGGGTTGAGGGACGCAGTCAGGTTGTCCACGCCTGGCAGCACATTTTTTGGGTGGTATTATTGACCAAAAGGAAAATTTTTTTTTTTTTGTCTTTTTGAGACAGGGTCTCGTTAGGTAGTTCAGGCTGGCTTTGAGCTCACTTTGTAGCCTAGGCTGGCCTCAAACTTGCAGCGATCCTCCTGCCTCAGCCTTCCGAATGCTGGGATTATAGGCATGTGCCCGGCCTCCCAAAAGGAAAATTATATTGCAACAGTTTACTCCATTGTAACACAGCGAAGATTCTAGTATATCAAAATAGGAATGTGGCACACACCCCTGTGATCTCAGCACTCAGGAAGCTGAGGCAGGAGGATTGCTGTGAGTTCAAAGTCAGCCTGAACGGCAGAATGAAACCCTGTCACAAAAGAACAAAGAAAGAAAGAAAGAAAGAAAGAAAGAAAGAAAGAAAGAAAGAAAGAAAGAAAGAAAGAAAGAAAGAAAGAAAGAAAGAAATAGGAGTGCTGTCAGGCGTGGTGGTGCAGGCCTGTAATCCCAGCATTCGGGAGGCTGAGGCAGGAGAATCCTTAAGAGTTCGAGACCAGCCTGAGC